CTTGTGCAAATGGGGAGTTTGAGTTTGTTTGGTCTGTCACTGTGAAGCGGGCATAACCCTTACACTACCTGATCGATACAACATCATACAGTGGGTCCCCCCCTCATTATTTTTATGGCCCCCACCCACCGCTCACGGGTGGGGGCGGGCGGGAGGACAGTAGGTCCCTCCCCATTGAGATTTATGGCCCCCACCCACCGTGCAGGGGTGGGGGCTAGGGGGGAGGAAGTAGGTCCCCCCTTATCCTTATTTACTGAATATTCCCCTGTATAACAATGTTTGGCATTTAGTGAATATTCCCTATTCTTCTCTGTGTCAGTGTGTATCAAGGGCTCTGAGGACAGGTGTCAATCCATATCTGCCAAGTGACCCTATGTAGGGGGAACAGTCTCTATTCTGCTCTGTGTCAGTGTGTATCATGATCTCTGAGGACAGGTGTCAATCCATATCTGCCAAGTGACCCTATGTAGGGGGAACAGTCTCTATTATGCTCTGTGTCAGTGTGTATCAGGGGCTCTGAGGACAGGTGTCAATCCATATCTGCCAAGTGACCCTATGTAGGGGGAACAGTCTCTATTCTGCTCTGTGTCAGTGTGTATCATGATCTCTGAGGACAGATGTCAATCCATATCTGCCAAGTGACCCTATGTAGGAGGAACAGTCTCTATTCTGCTCTGTGTCAGTGTGTATCAGGGTCTCTGAGGACAGGTGTCAATCTATATGTCAAGGTGTCAATATGTCATATGTCAGGTGTCAATCCATATCCATTGTGATTTAGGAATGTTAGGTGATTTATGCCCTTTATGGATTAAGACCAGACTCTGCATCAACTGTGTAATTTTCCATGGGAGGTTTGCCATGGATCCCCCTCCGGCATGCCACAGTCCAGGTGTTAGTCCCCTTGAAACAACTTTTCCATCACTATTGTGACCAGAAAGAGTCCCTCTGTGTTTTAAAATTCGCCTGCCCATTGAAGTCTATGGCGGTTCGCCGGTTCGCGAACATTTGCGGAAGTTCGCGTTCGCCGTTCGCGAACCGAAAATTTCGCGACATCACTATACAGGAACATATTAGAAACATTAGAAATAGTTTTGAAAAACATAGTGTCTCCCTGCATTTTAAAAATAAACATAATAGTGACCCCACCCAGCAAAAATTCCATGCGATACAGAGGATATTACCAGATTGGAGGGGGGGGAGGGGTGATTTCATTAAGAAAATGGGTCAAAGGGAGATGCAATGGATTTTTAATTTAAACACAATGCTGCCATATGGTCTTAATGATGATTTTGAGCCATGTCAGTTTTTAACCTAATATTTTAAGAATTTTTATATACAATATATATATTCTATGTATACACATTTTTCATGTATATATATGATTTTATACATAATTTTTTTAAATATTAGCATCAACATCATCAATGACCTTGGGTGCTAGCATAGTAGGGATTTACTCTTCTATATCTTTCTAGGTGGGCACCTCTCTAATATTCATTTTTATATGCATATACTGGCGCTTTAAAATGGTTAGATGTGATATGATATGGTTTCTAATTATATATTTTATAAATTAGTTTGAGAATAATTTTTATTAATACAATGTTCTCCTCTCCCCTTGACTCTTTGTTTGTATATTATCCATATTGAGTTGCTGTGTTTTGAACAAAGATAGATCTATGGACATTTGCAAAGGAAGGGCATTTGCCCAACTCTAAGATGGACGCTCCAGAGCTAACAGCACCAGTTCGTAAACACGCCCAATCCGTGACGCGATACGTAACGTGTTAGGTATCGGAGTAGCATTTGGACACAGCTGTTCACAATGGGCAGGACAGCTCTGAAAGCCGATTGGAGGAGGAGACAAGTGATGGACCAAACAGGAGGAAGAGCACAACATTTAAACAACGATTAGCAGCAAACATATTACCGACTGAAAAAGCTGTTACAATACAACGAAACATGTCGCGGCAGGAAGATTGGAGATTCTACTTCAAATTTTATATATTCATTTGTTTATTTATGTAAGTTTTTATTTAGTTTTTTTAATAAACTGTATTTTATATCTGGAATCCATCTTCCGTTTTGCTGCTTAAAGAAGGGTGGTAGCCTCCTTAAAGGCACATATACTATTATACCAGGAGCCAGGTATTGGGCTCCCTATCAGGTAAGAAGCCAATTTTCTTCATATTAGACACTGAGTACTGGAATTTATTGCACTAGGGGCTCTTTGTTTACCCTCTTTTTCCTCTTATGTATGCATAAGGATCTCCAGGTGATTAAAGGATCGATTGGGTATCATGTCACCATAAGTACACGCAAGCTGTTGAGATCTGAGCCTATCCTATAGGGCTCTGCTACATGTGAGTGGGACCATACAGAATATTTATTCACCGGATTTATCACATACGTTACTTGCACTATTTGCACTTATATCTGTTTCGGATACACTGTTGTGCGATACGTTCCTCATACATATGTATGTTTACCCATATGGGTAAGTCTGTATATATTTAAGCGCACTACATACACATCATTGGTGCTTTTTATCACTAATTTCCTACACTGTGTGAACACCTGGTTTCCTTATTATTTTTTGCCTAGATTAGGTGTTTTTTAAAAAAAAAACAAAACTAATAAAATCTGTCAACATTTAAGTTGCTGTTACACACACACACACACACACACACACTTTTATTTCCTATTTATGTATTATATATTATAATTAAAGCATTTTATAAATTAGACATGTGTATATATCTTAAAGTACACTTATAATGAAATCATATATAGGGAACACAAAAATAACACACCCTAGATCTGAATGAATTAAATATTCTTCTGAAATACTTTGTTCTTTACATAGTTGAATGTGCTGACAACAAAATCACACAAAAATTAAAAAATGGAAATCTAATTTTTCAACCTATGGAGGTCTGGATTTGGAGTCACACTCAAAATTAAAGTGGAAAAACACACTACAGGCTGATCCAACTTTGATGTAATGTCCTTAAAACAAGTCAAAATGAGTCTCAGTAGTGTGTGTGGCCTCCACGTGCCTGTATGACCTCCCTACAACGCCTGTGCATGCTCCTGATGAGGTGGCGGATGGTTTCCTGAGGGATCTCCTTCCAGACCTGGACTAAAGCATCTGCCAACTCCTGGACAGTCTGTGGTGCAACGTGACGTTGGTGGATGGAGCGAGACATGATGTCTCAGATGTGCTCAATTGGATTCAGGTCTGGGGAACGGGCGGGCCAGTCCATAGCATCAATGCCATCGTCTTGGAGGAACTGCTGACACACTCCAGCAGTTCCTGCAAGACTTAGCAGTTTCCCAAAGAGCTCCAAATTGCTCTGTTTAATAAAATAAGCTTTATTGTGCGATAATAGACAAAAATCTTAGGCCACATGAGGTCTAGCATTGTCTTGCATTAGGAGGAACCCATGGCAAACCGCACCAGCATATGGTCTCACAAGGGGTCTGAGGATCTCATCTCGGTACCTAATGGCAGTCAGGCTACCTCTGGCGAGCACATGGAGGGCTGTGCGGCCCCGCAAAAAAATGCCACCCCACACCATTACTGACCCACTGCCAAACCAGTCATGCTGGAGGATGTTGCAGGCTGCAGAATGTTCTCCACAGCGTCTCCAGACTCTGTCACATCTGTCATATGTGCTCAGTGTGAACCTGCTTTCATCTGTGAAGAGCACAGGGTGCCAGTGGTGAATTTGCCAATCTCTGTGTTCTCTGGCAAATCACAAATGCCCGCACAGTGTTGGGCTGTAAGCACAACCCCCACCTTTGGACGTCAGGCCCTCATACTACCCTCATGGAGTCTGTTTCTGACCGTTTGAGCAGACACATGCACATTTTGCAGGGCTTTGGCGGTGCTCCTCCTGTTCCTCCTTGCACAAAGGCCGAGGTAGTGGTCCTGCTGCTGGGTTGTTACCCTCCTACGGCCTCCTCCACGTCTCCTGATGTACTGGCCTGTCTCCTGGTAATGCCTCCATGCTCTGGACACTACGCTGACAGACACAGCAAACCTTCTTGCCACAGCTCGCATTGATGTGACATTCTGGATGAGCTGCACTACCTGAGCCACTTGTGTGGGTTGTAGACTCCGTCTCATGCTACCACTAGAGTGAAAGCACCGCCAGCATTCAAAAGTGACCAAAACATCACCAGGAAGCATAGGAACTGAGAAGTGATCTGTGGTCACCACCTGCAGAACCACTCCTTTATTGGGGGTGTCTTGCTAATTGCCTATAATTTCCACCTGTTGTCTATCCCATTTGCACAACAGCATGTGAAATTGATTGTCACTCAGTGTTGCTTCCTAAGCGGACAGTTTGATTTTACAGAAGTTTGATTGACTTGGAGTTACATTGTGTTGTTTAAGTGTTCCCTTTATTTTTTTGAGCAATGTATATATATATATATATATATATATATATAATCTAAGTACTTTTATTTACTTTTTTAAACTTTTATTTAACTTTTAAAACTTTTTTGCTCAGGCACTGCACAAGCTGGCTATTCCGGCCATGTGATCCTGAGGACCCATCAAATGGCCCGGGATAAAGTTTTACTTTCTTCCTGTGTTAGGTTATTCGATTTTTCTTTTTTGCTCAAGTTTTTGCCAAGTTTCTCAAAATCTCTCAATATACTTTTATTAAAAGCTGTTATTTGGCTTCCCTTATCATTTTATGCAAAATTTTGATTTGGACCTAAATTTAGAGACATTAGTATTCCCACTAGTAGTGTGATCGTTCTGGATATTATCATTCTGTTTTTTGATGAAAAATCTCTTAATGCACATTCTCCTAACAAACTTTTGGGCATCAACAAATAGCTGAAATAGATTGGGTGGTTCATCTGGCACAAATTTGAACCCTTTGTTTAAAAGTAAAATTTCTTCTGATGTTAAAATACAATTAGAAATGTTAAAAATTCATTTTTCCTACCAACTTATTTGCTGCTGATGTCCTACTGACGCTTACCCAGCCCCAGGTCTCCCTCCCCAATATCTTGAAAGAGATAACTACTTATGGCACCCACTCATACTACAAACTCAACATAACGAAAACGCAGGCTATGGGAGTAGGGGTCCCGGCTGGCATGCTGGACCTGCTACAGCGGGTTTTTGCCAAGTTTCTCAAAATCTCTCAATATACTTTTATTAAAAGCTGTTATTTGGCTTCCCTTATCATTTTATGCAAAATTTTGATTTGGACCTAAATTTAGAGACATTAGTATTCCCACTAGTAGTGTGATCGTTCTGGATATTATCATTCTGTTTTTTGATGAAAAATCTCTTAATGCACATTCTCCTAACAAACTTTTGGGCATCAACAAATAGCTGAAATAGATTGGGTGGTTCATTTGGCACAAATTTGAACCCTTTGTTTAAAAGTAAAATTTCTTCTGATGTTAAAATACAATTAGAAATGTTAAACATTCATTTTTCCTACCAACTTATTTGCTGCCGATGTCCTACTGATGCTTACCCAGCCCCAGGTCTCCCTCCCCAATATCTTGAAAGAGATAACTACTTATGGCACCCACTCATACTACAAACTCAACATAACGAAAACACAGGCTATGGGAGTAGGGGTCCCAGCTGGCATGCTGGACCTGCTACAGCGGTCCTTCACACTAGACTGGAGGCAAGACCATCTAACTTTCTTAGGCATTAAAATTACAAAAAACCCGACAAACCTCGTAGCCGCGAACTATGACCCATTGCTGAAGTCTATAGCGAACACATTGAAAGGGTGGGAAGGCAAGTTTCTGTCATGGCTGGGAAGGATGGCCGCAGTAAAAATGCTAGTGTTGACGAAGTTCCAATATTTGATAAGAACCCTACAAATCCACATACCAAAAAGTTACCTAGATAACCTACATAAGCTATTTACGGGCTTCATATGGGCCCATCAAAAAGTAAGAGTATCAGCAAAAATATTATGCAGGCAGCAGGCAAACGGTGGCCTGGGAATGCCAGACGTTCGGCAGTACTATAGGGCGGCTATTCTGGCCACGGCTATACAAACACACGCTAGCAAGGAAGTACCACAGTGGGTAGACATGGAGGCCTCGTGGGCATGTCCCAAGGGTCTGAAGTACCTATTTTGGATACCCCATAGACACAGGAAACTCCACCAGGACGTGCCACCCACGACGAGACTCTTATTGAAGGTATGGGACACTGCCACAAAACAATGGGGACAAGACAGGGGGTGGGCGCAAGCGACTCCCCTTTACAGCCTATATCTGGCAAACCCAGCCTTCGACTACAGACCTTGGACAAGCAGGGGATGTAACAGGGTAAGCCACCTATATGGCAAAGACAAACTACTTGACTTCCCAGACTTACAAAGGAAATACTCACTACCGCACAACACCATTTTCCAATACCTACAATTAAAATCCATGTTACAAGGATCCAACAGCCCCACTGCAACGGCCAACACAAAGCACATTGACCAGATGTGTACAGCCACCACACAGCCCAAGAGACTGTTATCCACACTTTATAATATGCTGATCCAATCGCATACAGACCCCCCAGACAAATTCATGGGAGATTGGCAGGAGGACATGGGCAAAACCTTTACTGACCAACAATGGGGAAAAGCATTCTTAGCGCACATGAAGAGGACGAGTTGTGCCTCTCACTTGGAACAAATGCAAAAACTCCAATACCGCTGGTACCTGGTACCGGAGCGATTGGCAAAGATATATCCAAACACCCCGAACACATGCTGGAGGTGTCAGGGAGATAGAGGAACAATGTTTCATATCTGGTGGACGTGTCCGAAAGTGGCAACATACTGGAGGGAAGTTGAGGAGATAGCAAGAATGGCCCTAGACAGGGAAATCACACTTACTCCGGAGTGCGGACTCCTGTTTATGGGGTTGGAAGAGCTCAACATCACAGACTCACGTCTACTATTTCATATTCTCATAGCAGCAAACACTCTAATAGCTAGAGCGTGGAAGCAGGATCAGGCACCCACTAGAGAGGCCCTGATTCAACAAATCACCACGAATCTGGTATATGAAAAGGAACTGCATAGGCAAAGCTCCTCAAACAAATATGCCAACCTGGCTCATGCGAAATGGGAGTTGGGACTGGGCAAGGAGGGAGAGTGACACAAAGAGGGAGAGGTGATGGCAAATAACTGCGCAGAAGAACCCACGTGTACATAGTTCTTTAGTTTAGCGTTTTGATCTGGTTAAAATAGGGGAGCCAAAGTGCAGGACCAAGATACATAGAAAGCTCAAAGGCGAGTATAGGCTGGAAATAACATGACGGCCGGGATAAGGCCAATGAGACCAAGGGCTTCACAACTATAAGGGATATGCATGTGAGCTAAAAGATTACCCCTACCCCCCCCCTTCAACCACCCCCCCCCATTGGTACCAGATACTTGTCAACCAGGACGAGAGGAAGGTAGTGATGTACATGACAAGTCATATTTCACGCTGTTTTAATGTATTACTGTAAGGATGTCATTGAAATGTTTGATGAAGGCAAATCATGTAACCCCCTTCCTCCCCTTTTCTCTTCTGTACCAATGGCGAAACCAATAAAAATTGTCAAATTGAAAAAAAAAAATTCATTTTTCTTCCTGTGATCTATTGAGCATTAAATACCTGATGCTTCGCCACTCATCCTTCTCCTCTTCCCTGGTGTATTCCACTCTCTCAAGGGGCAAATCTGTTTTTAGATCCCTTATCTGAGGCCATGGCTGAAAATATTTGGTTATGTTTTAACATTGACTCTGCTAAAGTTTCCATTTGTGCCAAAATATCATTTAAATTTTCCCTTTCAAAGTCAGCAATAATCTCCATTGGTATCAATGAGCATTTTTCTAGAGCTGCATCCAAGCGTTCAATATGGCTGGACTTTTCTCTAGCCTCAGGCCTCTGAGTATTAGACCTTCTTTGAAGTAAGATTCCAAAAAAGATATCTCCCACCATTTTTTGGTCTCTTGTACAGAGAGAGTACTACATGCATCTTCATATTGAATTAAATTAATTATTTAAATACAGATGTTCCAGTTAAACAATAAACTCAAAACACTGACAGCACAATATATTTTAATATCCAGGCTTTTACCTTATTTTGATGACTTGCACTGAATGGAATCAGAGAATTTTGCGTAATTCGAGCAGTAGCTTCTGGTAGCTAGCTAGCCTGTGTATATTCCAAAAGAGATCTCAGCGCACATATGGATTTGGGCAAAATGACATTTTCCTTTTTGTATACCTTACATCAAATGGAATGTACATATAACTTAAACAGCTTTCTTTAGTTTTGTAGAAATCTGTTTGCTCAGATCCCCAGGAATATATATGCAACCAAGGGATGGGGAGGGAGAGACACCCAAAACATTATAAATAGTGCTCAGGTAACTTTACTCTGCCACCATAATGATGTTAAAACCCTGCTTTTGCTCGGCGATGTAGTACGCCCTAAAGGTTAAAGGGTTTAAAAACACATCACTGGGGACTGTATTGCTATATTAAACATTTAAATACATTTATAAATACCAAACATCTTGAAAAGAGGGACAACAGCATAGGACAGATATATAATCCCTTCAAAAGAGGGACACATGGTACCTGGCATTGATACCCCACATTTACATTCACACTCTGCTGGCCCCCTTCTACAAAACCCCTGTCTCCCCTTCTACAAAACCCCTATCTTCCCTTCTACAAAACCCCTGCCACCTCTTTTACAAAATGCATGCCCAACTCTTTAAAGTAGTATCCATTAAAAAAACAAAACAACACAATATTAGGAAGCAGACATTCCACTCACAATTGATAACATTCTGTAAGGGATGGATGTATCAAAAATTAATCGCCTGCATGCTGCTCCCTGCTACTAATAATGTCAATGCCTGACTCTGGCATCAAATTCTACTACCGCGTGTCAGAGTAGATCCTTCTGCTGCCTGGAAACTGAAGGAGGAGCACATCGGGTTTGGGCCGCGCACCTCCGCTCTGCTCTGTGCACCTCCATGCTACTGCTTCACATGATTAAATAGTGCTGCCAAGCCACACCATGATTAAGCCACCTGCATCTACTAGCATCACTTTTGCGATCGACTGGTAGACCGCGATCAACGCATTGGCCACCCACCCCCTGATCTAGAGTGTCACATTTTATATATTCCAGTAGATCCTATATTAATTCTAATTGTATGTTATTGACAAATACAATGCAATTATATTTTTTGCATAATGATGTAGAGTTTAGATGTGATATAACCTATAGAAGTGACACAAATGTATGTAATTACGTATATCCCCATCGTTACTTGCTGTAGGTTACAATATATTGAGTACAGTAACATACCTCTCTTAAAGGAACTCTCTATGCAAGTAAATGTGTCATCTGAATTGTTATTTTTACACCTTACAAGAATTATTATTACTATCATTATTATTTGATGTGGCATCTGGCATCTTTCATGCATCATGACATTTTTGCTCAATAATAACTTTGGCTGAAAAATAGAGTTCCAGATGGTAACTATGTAGAACATGCAAATTTAAATTTCATCTGTAGTTTGGGGAAAAAACTGCTTAGTAGTTTCCCAAAGAGCTCCAAATTGCTCTGTTTAATAAAATAAGCTTTATTGTGCGATAATAGACAAAAATCTTAGGTACCATTTTCATTTTTATAAGATCGAGTTTAACATTTTCGAACTACAGTTTCACAATGTTTTCATGAGTTTATAAACCTGTTTCATCTTCAGCAAATAGTCATGCCATAAAATAATGTCAAGTGCCATCGACTGTATTTCAGATGCCTTAGGTCACCTGAAAAATGGTGATAAAGTAAAATGCATGGGCATTATTTTGATTGTAACATATTTGAACTACTCAACTTTACTTATTCTGTATAAAATATGGACTTTATAAGTGAAAGCATTGAAAATATTGTTAATATCAAATATACATGTGTGTGTTTGTATGAATGTATACCTCTCTCGCTATGTATGTGTATGTATGCCTCTCTCCCTATGTATGCGTTTGTGTGCCTTTCTCCCTATGTATGAGTGTGTGTGCCTCTCTCCCTATGTATGTGTGTGTGTGCCTCTCTCTCTACGTATGTGTGTGTTTGTGCCTTTCTCTCTATGTATATGTGTGTGCCTATCTCCCTATGTATGTGTGTTTGTGCCTTTCTATCTATGTATGTGTGTGTGCATCTCTCCTTATTTATGTGTGTATGCCTCCTCCCTATGTATGCATGTGTGTGTCTCTCTCCCTCTGTATGTGGGTGTTTGTGCCTTTCTCCCAATGTATGTGTGTTTGCCTCTCTCCCTATGTATGCATGTGTGTGCCTTTCTCCCTATGTATGTGTGTGTGTGTGCATGTGTGTGTGCGTGCCTTTCTCCCTATGTATGTGTGTGTGTGCCTCTCTCCCTATGTATGTGTGTGTGTCTCTCTTCCTATGTATGTGTGTGTGTGTATGTATGTGCGCCTCGCTCTATGTATGTGTAACATAGAAACATAGAAACATAGAAACATAGAATGTGACGGCAGATAAGAACCATTCGGCCCATCTAGTCTGCCCAATTTTCTAAAAACTTTCATTAGTCCCTAGCCTTATCTTATAGTTAGGATAGCCTTATGCCTATCCCATGCATGCTTAAACTCCTTTACTGTGTTAACCTCTACCACTTCAGCTGGAAGGCTATTCCATGCATCCACTACCCTCTCAGTAAAGTAATACTTCCTGATATTATTTTTAAACCTTTGTCCCTCTAATTTAAGACTATGTCCTCTTGTTGTGGTAGTTTTTCTTCTTTTAAATATAGTCTCCTCCTTTACTGTGTTGATTCCCTTTATATATTTAAATGTTTCTATCATATCCCCCCTGTCTCGTCTTTCCTCCAAGCTATACATGTTAAGATCCTTTAACCTTTCCTGGTAAGTTTTATCCCGCAATCCATGAACCGTATGTTTGTATACCTCTCTCCCTGCATGTGTATACCGCTTTCCCTTTGAATGTGTGTATACACTCCTCCCTATGTGTGTGTATATATACATATATATATATATATATATATATATACATACATACATACATACACACACACACACAAGAGAGAGCATAATATATTATTACTAATTTTAATCAGATCCCTATCTTTTAGTGTTCTAAATGTAATTGACTTAAGAAGAAAGAAAAACTATCTCACGCATTACACACACATTGTTGCAGTGTTATGAAAACATTGAATAATTTAGAAACATCTCGATATTTTTAAAAAGTACTTGTCAGATACATGTCTAAAAAATGTTAGAAGAAGAGTGCTACGATTACATTTCCCCCAGTGCTTCTTCCTTTGATTATTCCAACTGAATATCTCATTAACTCCAATATTTTTAATCTTGTGTCCATAAATATAGATTACTAATATTCTTAAGAGCTGTGAGCTATCCCAATTGCTTATGGCTATAATAACTTGACATATGTATAAATGCTGAAAATTGGTAAAAGAGTTAATCCACCAAGGATGTTAATTAGCTTCAGCTGTCTTAGTAGATCGATATATGTGATGAAGCTATTAAGTAAACATTGCTTGTTGACCAAAACAAAATTCTGCTTGAAACAAAGGTTTCCATTTACAATGCTACTATATAAAGTATGTTATAAGTAAAGTAGTTTATGTGTGTTTTCTTTCTTAGCTCTGTGGAGCTGGTATGGTAGTCCTTAAAGGGACACTATAGGCACCCAGACAACTTCAGCTCATTGAAGTGGCCTGGGTGCAGTGACCCTGTCCTTTTAATCATGCAATGTTAATTATTGCAGTTTCTGAGAATCTGCAATAATTAAATTGCAGAACTAAGACTGCGTCTAGTGGCTGTCAATCAGGCAGCCACTAGAGGCAATTCCTGCATGAGGACATCCAGCGTCAGTAAAATACCCATGTAAAGAATTGTAGCAATGCCTTCCTATGGGGAGTGCCTAATGCACATTAGCGTCCCCTTATTAATTGATGTCAGGGAGGCGGAGTGCCGACCCACCGCCGAGGGACATTGTTCACACTATTCATTTGGCTCTAAAGAGAATTCAAAGTGTGGGAAAGCCTTTATAAAGGTTTTTCTCACTTTGAAGCACATTCTGTGTAGAGCCATTGAGGTGCTCTCTTGGATCTTTATTTTTCAGTCAGTATTTGCCAATTGGGTGTTTTTTAAATTTTAATAGTAATGGTTGATGTTTCAGGGATTAAAAGAAGGATTTAGCAGAAGTATCAGTTGGTAAGTATATTTTTTTCACAGGTCTTTAGATATGTGGAGTTATTATATTTTGTTCTTAGGGTATGGAGGATAGGTGGTGTATTTTATTCAGGGAAACATGGCTAGGAGTTTAGGGATCCATAGCCACTGCAGGGTGGAGGGACAATGGCACAGCTCTAAGGGGTTAAAAATGGTATGTCCATCCTTCCTTGTATACTTTATTAGTAGTACCACCTGTCGTTCAT